GCCTGTACTTGTGCTTTGGATTGCTTGGGAAATGCTGCCTTTAAAAACAAGCATCAAATACATATTTGTTTTCTGCGTCTGGATTTTCGCACAGTCACTGGGATAGAGACACCTTAAAAAATATGTGAATGCACAGAGTATTCTTGTCAGTCTTTCTTTGTAAGTAAGCTTTTTTTGTTTTCTACTTCTGAGAATTTCTAGATTGAAACTTTTCTGAGTTCTTAACAGTTTTGTAAAAGTTCATCGAGGGTTAAAGTTCTTATGAGTGTGGTATCTGGTCTTACTTCACAAATAACGATTCTAATCAGAAATGCGAGAAGGGAACATGGAGACTTGTTTTGAGTGCTGAGAGCGACGAACAGATTAAACAGACTGACCTGACACCTGTCTGGATAAAGCAGATGTTTTGCATGTCAAACTAACTAAACATGCTGCCTCAACAGCTAAAAGGTGAAGCAAATGCAGTTTTCATCCATGTGCAGGTAAAACTTTGTCACATAAATTCGGCCGGCTGCTAAATTACTTCTTAATCTTTACTTTCAGATGTAAGTTGACTCATTTTCTGATGAATACAGAAGCTACAGCCCGTGTTAGGGTGAGAAACTTTTTTCGGGTGTCTGCCAGGTACAAACGAGAAGTGCCTTGGTAGCTCCTGCACTTCCACCGCAGGTCACAAGATGGGGTGTGAGTACCCAGAAAAATGACTGTCCAATGAACACGTTCAGCAGTGAAACACCATCTTACCATTGGATTTTGCTTAGACACTGTAATAGCACACAGACAAAATTTCCTAGAAGTTGCAGTTGTTAAATGTTATTTTTCAGGAGTCATATTCAAAAAGTTTTTAAGGGGTATACTAAATTCAATTACACATTTTTAGTAATTTACAGGTTGTGCTGCCTGTAGTGAGGATTGCTGGAGGGCTGGATTTGCCAGTGGAGCAGAGTGTTGCAATAAGGAAGTCAGTTCCAGCTGTCAGATAAATGAGAAGGGATACGGAAGCATTTTTCAAAAATGAAGCATTCTACAGATGACACATTTATTTTCAAAGCAGGAAATATTTATTGAGTGACGGTGTTCTTTTGGGTCCACACTTTCCCAGATGCCTGCTGATTCATTGGTGGCCGCTGCTCATTATAGCCGTAACTGGGAGGTGGCATTGGTTTGGGCTTAGAGAACAACTCCACAGATGGTCCGAGCAGGCATCAGACAGTTGTGAGTGTGACAGATTTTTCTTTGGAAAGTGAATTGCCACTTTTTGACTAGCTTAAGTCGTGTATTTTATTAAGGGATGCCAGCCCATCTGTTTTACTGGAATGCACATAGTTGTTGCTTAGCACACCATTTTCAGTAGCACTGATTATTTTAAAGCAGACCAAGGGATATTGAAACTGTCTGTCTTGAAATATAATATCCTAAGAAGAGTCTTTGGTCTTCCACACTAGTGCCAAATAGTTCTGCTCACCTTATTCTCGGTTTCTTTGCATCAAATAGGAATTGGAGAATCTAAATCCTTTTCCTAACCCAAGAGTGGATCCTAGTGTAGGAAAGATTGAAAGCAAGCACTGTGGACAAATGCAATTGGTCTGAGTACAGAAGAAAATAATTCAGATGTATAAACCCCTTGTTACATTAAATCTGTCAAGTAAAGGTGTTTGAAAAAGGAGTGATGTAGAAAGCCTGACTTCCCTAACTGGTAGATGCCGTGAGCAGGTGGTACGTTGCCACTGGCTGCTGCACGTTTCCTCGCGCCATCCTTGAGCTGTGGTTGCACCAAGTGTAAACGATCAGGAATGACCATGAAGTTACGGCGTTGCTTGGCTGCAGCAGCGGGTGACGGCAAGCTGTAACCTTAGCCATGTGAAGTTGAGGTTATCTTCGGGACACGACGTTCATTGCAATTAAACAGCACCTGAACAGCATCTTACGGGGCAGCACCTTGGCAGGCTCCAGGTGAAAAGCAAGAGGTGAGTGTGATAAAATTCACGACTGGTCACAGTCCTGTTAATTCTGTGCAACAGTGAAAATATCACAAATGAGACAAAATTACTAGATGGTCAAAACAGCAAAGATGAAAAAAGTGTGAAAAGATCTGGCAACACTGAGACTGGAGGGAGTGTCTCAGCCTGGTGAATGTGCAAGTCCATGGTCACTTAGCACCAGCACTAGTGAATCCTACATTCCTGTTTAGTGTTTGCTTCTGGGTTTTCCGTTATCTAGTAATGTACAAGTGACAACTGAAGCTTTTCTCACCATTAGGGCATTCGTATTTCTGCACCATTCCCACGTGAATCCTGTCATGTCAAAAGTTTGACCTTACGTTGCACCCTCTTTTCAGAGACTGGTAATAGAAAACCATCATGAAGCTTGTGTGAACTTACTCTCCTTGCACTTATTTAAGTCAAATTGGCTTGAAAGTGGTCAGTGGGTTCAAAAGGAGTGAGGGGAAGGAGGATGGACACAAATACATACCTTGGAAACCAGACTAAAAACGTCACATGGAAGCTTCTATGAGGCCCGTGTCTCCTGCTTCTTGCATTAAGCACGTGCAACAGGATAGACCGAGAAGAGAGTTGCTGTTGCATGCCCTCTCAAAATCATCTTGGAGAGTAGTTAGGACAGCAAGTTTGGGGTTAGTTTTGTGCAAAACAAGTCAGGGATGCAATATATTCTCTTTTTAGAGTAGATTTTCACATTCCACCACTCTGCCTGTCATCCCGCTTTCGCGTGGGGTACCAGGGAGCTGCGGGGCAGTAACAGCTTTGAGTCCCAGTCTTGTCTGTAACCCTTATTAGCAACGTCTGTGTTTGCATGAGGAAACTGTACTGAGTGTGGGCACGTGGGGCTGATCCTGTAAGCCTTCAGCAGTAGGTCTTTGATCACTACCACCCCCAGGCCTGATCTGAAATGGTATTTTAAGCAGAAAGCCTTCTACATGTAGAGCGTAACAATACTCCAGAATCCTATGGATCTCTTCTCAGATAGTACCAGGAGTGCTATTTGGCAAAGGAAAACCAAGATGATTAACTCTTTCATTTGTTCAAATGTGCAGAGATATAGCAGACATTAACCTGAAAAGCAGAAATGCTTTTGTATTAATTATTGCAATGTTGTAAGGAAAAAAAGTGGTAGGTAGGTTCTGAATCTATCAAAAAATTCACAGATGCACTTATATGAATACATTGTTGGCTCTTCTGGGAAAATTATCAGGCAGATTATCAAATATATGAAGTGGTGTAGCCTAGCATTTGTCATTTTAAAATAAATTTAAGTTATTTTGAAATTCTCCTGAATAAGTTATTTATCTAACCTTAGTAGGTAGGCTTATATGGAATTCACTTTGTGTGGTTTAAGGCTCAGATTCAGTGCTTAGGATGTGAATTACATTTCCCATAGAGAATAAACTTGAAGCTCTTGAATCTGTCAAGGTCGTAGGAAGGAAGGTCAATTCATGGAGCACGCTGTGCTCCAGCTTCTTTTCCCCAACATCTCTAACTCCACCCTGGTTAGCCTGTGTTACTGCATCCTAGGCTACCCTTGTAGTGCCACCTTCCCAACGGTTGTTAATTGGTGGTGGTGCAGTAAAGCATGCAGCAGAGCATAGATGCTAAATACCTCTCTGTTTACGTTTGAGAGCGCCTTTCAGTTGTTTGATGGAATATACAGGCAGCACACATGACTAGGAAATTAAGGCTAAATGTCAGAAGATAGTGCTTTAATGTATCCTGTCAGCAAAGTCTTCATTAATGCTAGTGTTTGCATTAGTGCTGCAGTTGAGGGCGAGCTGCACTTTCCAAACTGTCTTGCATGATGTCATTTGACTTCTCGAATTGTTGCAGTACTTTTCTGCAGAAGTGGTGATCAGGACTCTCATCTGAAAAAACAAAGGCAGGGCATTCTGGTTGACGCATCCGGTGTATGTCAGTGGTTCTTGGAATCATCTCCTTGCCTGTGGTGGAGAAATAGTTGTTGATATTAATTCCTTTGATAAGCTCTTCAAAATACTGTTGCACTGATATGTTAAACTCTTGCGGGTCCTGATACGAGGCTTTTCCTTCTAGGACTTTTTCTATCGTTTCCTTGAGTTTTCTGTCCCCTTGTAGAAACTGTACAGCGTTTTCGTGCTGTTCCAGGAGGGCTTTCATTTGCTGATAAAGCTGTCCAGAAGCTTTGGCCTCATTTGAGACTGCCTGCAGTTTCTCCAGTTTTGTGGAATAGTCATGGTGTAACTTGGATTGCAGTTCAGTCATTTGGAAAAATATGCTCTTCAGCAAACCCGATCCAACTGTGTCAATCATTTCCTTCGTGTCTGTAGCATCAGCTGTTAGCTTATTAATCAGTTCTTCAGTTTCCTGGGTGAAATAAATTAAGGAAAAGTTATATATTTTATCATAACTGTGTCTCCGAGTAGTGTTCAGAATAGGTTAGGTGCTCTTTTAGCTTTCAGGAAATAGGATATGTAGATGTACATTATAGGCTCTGTACTTTGTACAATTGGGGCAGCCGTTACTGCTCAAAACCAAATGAAAACATAAATACTTGGAAATGCGTTTTGAAACATTGTGCTGTGTTGTCCCTAGGTCAGCAAGTGACCTCAACTGCAGGCTGCTTTTCAAAATGGGTCTCTTAAATATCTTTTCATGGGAATGTGAAGTGTTTTCTTTAGGAAGCTGTGGAAGCTGCGCTGTGCTCAAGGCGACTATGCAGAGATAGCATCAAGGTGAGCAGAGTGCCTCCTTGCAAGCCCGCCTGCCGAGTAACAACGCTGGTCCTGAGCTATTCCACAGGAATGCTTGTGCTTGGTACATGTGTTAGTGTGTGTTTGGGATTGCGTGTACTGCATGTTCTTTCCAGAGACCAGCAGTTAAAATTTGCAAGCTCACATGCAGTAATATATCTTGGTGTGTTTCTTCGTCTACTTAATGAACGAATTTTGAAGACATAGGAAAAGCTTTGCTATTCAAAAGTCCTGTTACACCTAGGTGAACAAAAAGTGAAGAGCCGGTTTGGCCAAGGCTATAATGAACTCTAAGTAAGGATTAAAATACGTTCTTATTCTCTTCCTGCTAAGCCATTTTATCTTGTACATCCCAGCACTCTTCAGAAAAATTTGCAAATTGACTGCCTACTGTTGGAATCAAAATGCACCTCTCTAATTCCCTGTGACATCCAGGAATTACATGATTTTGTTAGCGTCACCTCAGATGAGTCACTTGTACCTTCTTGTCACTTGCAGCTTCTTCATACTTCTTACGAATTAAGTGTAATTTTTTTATAAATACTTCTTTTCTTTCACTGTAAGCTTCTGATACTTTCGCAACACTGTGGTCCTTGTGTTTTCCAAACAGCTTGCAAGTTGCACATATTGGCTCATCATCAGTCAGACACATCTGAGGGAAAAAAAAAACAACCCACAAGAAGAGTTAGTATCTATGTATAGGCAAAATAATCCAAGTAACTTGTTGGTCTGTCTGTTGTTAGATACTGTTAGAAGAGTCAGAACAGAATATTGTTGGTGAAGCTGTATTGTTTGTTGTCCAAACCAAGATTCCTGTTGCAATGTGCTTGTTCTGTTGGCATTTGCCAACACGATACGAATTTTGCCAAACCACATACCTTTTACTTGCTGAGTCAATAAAGTGTACTCGCTTCCTGTATGCCATGTGAATTTTGATATCAGATGGTAAAAGGAAGTTTCACATTCAATAAAGCATATGATTGGATCTTACAGCACACACAGTATGATGCATTTTGCGTCTTGCTCGATACCCCACTGGTGGGGGGGGACAGTGGAAAACATGTAACTGCAGATGAAGATACAGTCCTTACCTGGAAAACTTAAGAATGACAAGGTGAGGGGGACCTGCAGGAATACATGTTTTTTCTTACCTATTTATAATTTTGTTTCCATGTTGGACAGTAGTCACACACGCATACACTAGCACACACAAACCCAGATGTTTCATAGGAGGGAGAGAACGCTGATTTATGGCTTAGTTCAGGAAGTGCTTTCTGCACCTGAATGATGAAGGCATGCATCTGTGGGGGGGACAGTGAGCAATGGCTTCACTAGTGGAACAGCAGGAGATACTGAAAGGGCAGTATAGGACTGAAGAGCAGACCAGAAGGCAGATGTAGTTTTGTGTTAAAAAAAAAAAAAAAATCAGAGTGTGAATGACAATCTTGAGTGAGGTGCAGTGAAATGGGGAGCCAAGTGAGAGAATTCAAAGAGGAGATGCAGTTTTCACAGGCAAATTAACAGTATGTGTCCACAATGTGTGGATTCTGTGGAACCATTCTATGATTCTATGGCTAAAAAGTGGTGATTAATCATTGTGGCACTGGGTCTTCCAGTCCATAAGAGTGAATTAAGGTGTGTCTCTGGGCTATTTACGATTATTTATGGTGTCGCTTTCTCTAGTATGTGCAGGTGTAGGAATGGCGGTAGAATGATTGAACTCCTTGAGGAGTGAGAGCGTGGGCCTCTCAGAGGTTTGATTTCAGTGGGATTACTCGTGCGTACTGCTAGCCATGCCTCTGTGGCTTTTGCAGCTAGCTTCATCAGTGGATTATTGGGAAATGGAATATTCAGTATGAATAAAGGAAGGAAACTCTGATCCTTTGCAGTTATTGTAGCACAGAGCTTAGTAAAGGCAAAGATACTTACACCGCTTGGTCAGGTTCAATAAGAACAGTTTTGGTTCTGCTGTTAGTCTAAAAGGCTGAACTTTACTTTTAAAAGGGTTACAGCTCTTTTGAAAGGTTATGAAGCTGCTTGCTACTGGCTGCAGAAAAACCCCTATTAGTGGGGTGGATAAAAATATTCTGGGTAAGAAAACCTTATCAATATTTAGTATTATCTCATTTTTGTTATTATTTTGGAATAAATTTCTATGCCTTAGTATTATATAGTTTATTGTTACAACAACTTTGCTATATATGAGGACTTCATGAAGTACTCATCATCCACAAAGTTTTCCAGTAAATAAATTTTGGACCTAGTAGGATTTTAGCCCTTAGAGGATAGCAAGTGTGCAGATTACTAAAATGGAGAGAGAGAGAGAAAAATTCATACCACATTCATGTTTTCTCCATGTTCTTCACATGTTTCAGACAACTGTCTTCTCTCCTGAGCACAGGTTCTTGCAAGCTCATATTCAAATTTCTCCACTATACTTTCAACTAGATTATTTCGTTGCAGGCCAACAATTCCTCCATCCTTCAAATAAATGACCTACAAAGGAAAAAAAGCAGTAAAATAGTTTGAATGATACAGGAATGCTTTGTTTCTCTGGTAATTCAGTTGGTATTTACATTATGAAGGCCTGAACCGTGGTGAAATACTGCAGGAGTACCTAGACAGCCAGTTCATGGAAACATGCGTTTTGTAACCTGAGGGCTCGTGAGTATCACTTGCCCATACTTTGCCTCTGAGTATAGGGCATTTGACCAACGGGAATTGCATTTAGTCTGAAATACAGAATTTAGCAAATCAAGCAGGGAGATCTTAGTTTCTGTTAACAGGTAAAAAGTACCTTCTTTTTTTTTTAATATTCGGTGGCATGTCCTGAAAGCATTATGACAATCCAGTCCTGAACTTTTTACGCCCTGAAGTCAGTAAATTTACTCCCATGCTACAGATGTCGTCAGTACAGGAATGCAGTTATCTTCAGTTTTCACTGAATTAAGATTTTGTCTCCATAAAGACCATGAGAAGGTTTTACAATGCTACCTATTAGTATTTGGTGGCACAATCTGTCCCTGAGAAAAGCCTTAACAGTGGACTTCGCACTTACAGAAGTCTGTAAAATATTAATATTAAAATAAATATATTCCAAATCTTAAGAAAATCTGCTGAGTAACTTATGTAAGAAACCTGTAACTAGTCCAAGTGGGAAAGAGCAGTAAGCAAGTATCTTGTTTAGTCAGAATCCTAGAAAACACCTAATTTAAAGAAGACAGCCTTTAGCAATTGCACATCTTCCCCGGCCAGGTTTCGGTGCAGCAGCAGCGCGTTCAGTGACCAGAAATGCAGGTGCCACGCTACAGAAAACACAGGTGTGATGTCAAATAACCTGTTCCTTAAATAGCGTGTGGCATGTTAGTAAAGAGAACTGAGCTCCTCCAGTGAAGAGCTGGGGCATAACTGCCACTCGAGATTCAAAAAAGAGTCTCCTAACTGTGAGATGTGGCGTCTGCCCGGCTTCCGCGGGAGCGTAGGATCGCCCCTCCTCACCTTCCTGCACAGGGGGCAGTGGAAAAGCGCGTTGGCGTGGTCACGCTGTTCGTGTAGCAGGATCCTCTCCAGGCATTGCTTGCAGAAGTTGTGTGCGCAGGGCAGGAGCAGGACAGGAGGGGTGAACAGCTCCAGGCACACGGGGCACAAAAGCAACTGTCTTAAAGTTTCCATGGCGGGGGTGCCCCCCGGGAGGAAGATCCTTTTCTGGCAGCTTCCAGAGCAGCCCCTCTCTGCAGGGCCGGACCTAGTTCTAGAACCCGCCCCGGCCTCTATGACGACATCTCCATGGTAGCGGCAGTTCCCTTCTCAGATGCTGACAGTTCAATAGAGTACCTGCATCTCTGCTCCCACCCCAGCACATGTGCCGAATCACTGGATTACACCAGGATGTTCTCCTTCCCACCAGAATACCTCAGTCTGGATTTAAGTACACGCTTGGGTGATTAACGCTCAGACATTCAAGCAATCCAGCATGTTACTCTAATTAGAGGAGTTTTGCATCTCAATGTTAGGGATGTGCCTTGTGGTAAATTATTTTATTACCTGTAATTTTTAATTTAGAATTGCATCTTTTGGTTTTGTCCACTCATTTCAATTCACATTTCCATTACCTTGTACTGAAACCTTCTTCAGAAAGTCAGCCTACGCCTTGTTAGCAATATTCCTTTTGTTATCGTTAATGTCTTTAAAATGCATTTTTAGAGGATGGAATTAATGACCTTGAAAGCTAACGTGGCATCTGTTTGAGGAGCATTCAGCAACTGCTTTCTGCCACGTACTGAAATATATTAAAGGTTTCTGTGTCCAGTGTTGAAAGTCTCTGACAGGCCTAACCCGTGCTGTCAGTAAGGCATTTATCAAGACGGTAGCATTTGGCTCGCTGCCGTTAGATATAGAAACCACGTGAGACAGTCCTCATTTACTGTTAACTGTATTGTCTCTACAGTAGCTAGGAAATTAAAGTTTGTAGACTGATGACTGAATGAAATGAAGGTCACTGGCCAAATATAATCCTGAGCAGGTGGATAAGGTTGAATGTGCACACACACACCCCCATCAGGCATTGCCCTTTGGGGATGTTAATACCTGGCTGTCATAGCAATTATGTTCCATCTTTTTGGAATCTCCAGCCCACCCACAGCTCTCTGTGGGCATGATTGCAACTGGTCAGAGCTGGTCAGTAAGCTCTGCTTACTTGGGGTATTGCTACTTCATGGTAACGAAGACTGAATATTCAGGGCTCAGACATACGTGCATTTTCTTGTGTAGCAAACTGCTGTCAGTTAGCTAGAAATTAAGAGTGCAGCCAACAGGCTTCAGTCCAGTAGTTAAGGACGGTTATTTTCTCCCCATCTTCTGGATTCAAGGCCTTTCTCTCAGAAAAACAAGGAATAAATGGTCAGAACTAGGAATTGAAGACAAAATGTCTGTCTGAACATTCAGTCTGACTGTAGCATAGTGAGAGTTTTCTCATCACCAGCACATTCAGAAAATAATTTGTAATCCCTATTGTTTCTCCAGCAGCCTGTGGCTGTTCTTACCTCTAGTCCTGCTCCTTTTCCCATAACCTTTGTGTCCTACAAGCTGTGTTGCGTGGTGCCGCCTAGCAGAGGATGCTCTAAGGAGCTGTGCTCTGTAACTGAGGTGGGACCCGCAGGTACGGCAGGAGTACCACTATAGTAGGGGTCGCAATAGGAATGTTATTTTCAACATGCACTGCCGTCAGTCAGTGTCACTGCCAACACCAAATGCTTTTTTAGTTTTGTGTTACTGTGTGGAACATTCCCTTTGAAGTTTTTGCACTCTAAGTTAGTATCTGGGTACAGAGTAAGTTGGTTTCCTCTCAGTAGAGCCTTTTTCTTGATCAGTAGGGCTGCAGTGCAGCCAGGGTTGAAGGAGGATCTCTGGCTGACTAGACCACAGGGACAGGACACCTCAGCTCCATCCTCATTTTGGTTGTGATTTGTGATGCATTGTGCAAGCATTTTACATTAACTGGCCTCAGTTTATTCATCTTTCGAGTGTATGTGATGTACTGAAAAGTGGTTTTCTTATTAACGGTTGTAGTTTTTGTGATATTTGGATACATGCTATAATCCAAGTACTTTGATTGAAATAGGTCTGAAGTCAGCAAAAAGATATGTTGGTAGTGGATGTCATTCAGTTCCTAAATGCATAGTATAGAAAGAAATAAAAAGTTATATACTCACTGTTTGGTATTTAATATGTTCTCTTTCCTGAAGTAGGGCTGTTTATCAGTTTCAAAGCATGGTATTTCTTAATTCATTGTCTTTACCATTTCAGTCATTGGAAGCCCATTACTACCTGCACGCAAATGCTATTATAATTAGCAGTGAAACTGGTAGCATAAATTGCAATAGCAGGATAGGCCCCATTTTTTCTTTAATTTTATGGAATTCCACTGTCCAGTTTATTAATTCTTAACTGGCACTGGCTGCCCACTGATGGTGCTAACTTGATTGCCTGCATTAGGTTTTTTTATAAAATATGGCATTTGTATCAAGTCCTTCACTATCTAAATATGTGCTGAATGCACAGCACGCTCTCGGTGTCAGCGTGGCAGGGGAAGACCTGGCTGATGCTGCCTCCGGCAGTGGCAATCACCAACATGAGTTGCATTTTGGACTTGACATTAATATTACAGTAGAACTATATCGTTTTTCACTTGTCCCATATAATATAAATCAGTTCTTACAAAAAAAAGTAGATTGTGTAACATAGGTCAGATTCTTCTTAATGGATGCATAAAAGGTAATTTTTTTTTTTTTTAATTAAGTGAAACCCTGGGAAAAAATCTTTATATGCCATGACAAGTGTTCATTGAAATACATAAACTGAGACTTTGACTCTCAAGACGTCTATTTAAAAATGTTTGTCAATCAAATGTATTACTTCAAGATCCACTGCTTTGTAATGGCTTGCCCCCTACTGCTTTCCGAGACATGAATCCCATCTCAGCAATGGAATTTTTTAACACAGATGATTTGCCATGAGGGTGCATTTCTCCTGTTGAGACTTTGGAGTCAGGCAGTTCAGATCTGTATGCTTCTCTGCCTGACCACTGAAGTGGGCATAATCAGAGCGTCTCTTCAGGAACGCAGGCACAAACTCAGCCAAGGTGCTTTGAGACCTCAGGGAAGTAGTGTGTGTTTTATCTGGGTTTGTGGTGTGCAGTGTATGTCACACAAAGGATTTGTCCAAAAACGTGTTGTAGATGGTAGATAGAAGAGCAGTTTTGTGTCTTTTTATTTCAAGTCTGTTAGCAGTTAGGTAATGTGAGGATGTAGGGAGACGCAGGTATCTGCTCTCCTGGTGAGTGTTCTTCAAAGACAGTACTGACTTTATGAGGCAGGGGAGGAAAATGGACCAGTGGTTACTTTGCTGAGGAATGCGGCCATATGAGTGCCCACTCTGATGGATCAAGTCAGGATGTACAGGATGAGATTGTGCCAGTGATAATCAGATTTTTCTCGTTGGTTTTTTGTGGGTGGTTTGGTTTTTTGGTTTTTGGGGGGTGGTTTTTGGTAGTGGCTTGTTTTGTTTTAGACTGAGTGCCATTCTGAGCCAGTTTAAAGGTAAAGGAACAACGTCCCCACACATTTTCTTGAGCCTGACGTACTGGAACTGAATAGATTCCCTGCAAGTCAGGTACAGTCATTAAATTTTGGTTCAATATGAAATACCTTTATTACTGAAAGCGTACTTGTAAAATAGCTTTTTTGGTGTCGATGTTTTTAAGGATTAGTACAGAGTTTGAGGCTGCATTGGAAACCGGTGTTCATAATTTAGCTGTGTGCTGCAGCCAGCACGTGTCCCTAAGCAGCAGAGAGACCATGGGAGCTGTGGGTTTAAGGTAAGAAAAAAGAGAAAAAAATTGGGTTCTTTTACTGCCCCTGCTGAAGAGATCTACTCCTACCACTGTTTGCAGTAGGTCAGTCCCAGCTATTCTCCTCCAGAAGACACTGGGAAGTGGGTTGGTTTCTCCCCTGCTCTCTCTCGCACTGCCAGCGTGTTGACTGTGGTATTTCAGAGCATCTCCTGTGATTGCGTAGTAAAGCTCTAGCAATTGCTGAAGTGGGGGTGGGAACTCCTCCAAGGCAACAAAAGGGAAATCCCACAAACCGAAGCATTTGTGGCAGCAGCGCGCACTCCCCTCTCTCATCCTCTGCCGTACTCCGCCAGACCTGGGATGCTTCCTGCTCCCTCGGGTTGTGACGGTATGAAGTGCTGACACTCTGCAGAGTTTAGCACGTTCCCACCTGCCATGGCAGCCTGTCCCTGCTTCAGTGCAGGGTTTTAGTGGGATGGCGTTCGCTGCTGTGTCTGTGGGGTGGTACCGCCAGTGGAGGCTGTCCTGTTGGACAGTGGGGACAGCTGCCACGAAGGTTTGTAGTGACACACTTTCTCACATTTCTAAGTCATAGCTGCACAGAAAGAGACATCTGTAGTGTTGCATCTTTCTTCTACTTTCTTAGGTGCAAAACTGCTGTCATGTGAATTTCCTCACTGGTAGATGTATCATCACTTGGGATGATTTTGTTTTACTGCTTCACAGGTAAAGAAATACCTGTTTCACAAAATTCCCTTTCAGCCCATAGCCTACCAATGGGTACTATCTTCTCCCTAAGATTTCATCTTCAAATACCCAACTCAGGTGACGTGTCTCCTTCAGAATGGTAGGTTCTCTTTTGATACTTGCATATTACAATACCTCTTGTTTTGACTGACAGAATGACTCTTACAGGCACTCTTTGAAAAGTAGGAAGCCTGAGGCAGGGATCTCAGTTTGCTTTCTAAAATTCTGCATTTGCTTAGAAGGGAATATTCACCAGACTGTAAACAAATGTCTCAGCACTGGTACTGTAGGACATCAGATCAGATCTCTGGGGACCAGTGTTTAATTTGGCAAACATGGAAACACTTCTTGCTAGTTTATTCGACTGGCAAGATGACCTGTCTAATTTTGACTCACCTGCTATCCCACCATATGATAGAACTCCAAAATAAATTGACTGCACAATTGTCTGTGGAAAATACGTATGCAGAGTAGAGCAGAGAGTGCCCCTGAACCTCTTGTGCCCTGTCACTAACACGAAAGGCACTCATTTTAATCTCTACTCTGTATTTCTTCAGTGAGACTGTGCCATGCT